CTCTGTGTGGAGTGAGTGTGTTGTGTGAGTGTGTGCTCTGTGCAGAGTGCATACTGACCCTGTTGTTGGTGACCAGCAGGTCCCTCACAGTGTAGCTCTCGCACTCCTCCTCTCTCTTCAGCTCAATGGCCACGTCTCCGCAGTGCAGGACCCCATCGCTGGGCCAGTACTGGGCACACTTCTCCTGTGGGGGCGAGGCAGGGAGGCAGGGGGGCAGTCAGCTCCCCTGAGCTGAGCAGGGCCGCGTACGCAGCCAGAACCACACAGAGCACAGAGCTCTTCTCCCTCCTCCCTCCTCTCACCTGGCCTCTCTCCTCCAGCTCGGTCAGCATGACAATGGAGCAGCTCTTCCACTCCCAGATCATCCTCCAGAAGTCCTCGATGGTGTGCTGCAGAGGGCCCTGGCTGGCGATGTACGAGTCCTTCTGCCTGTACCCCTGAGCGGCAGAGAGGGAAGGACAGGGGCTTGAGGTTTTCTGGGGCTCATGTCCGTGGCGGTGTGCGGTAATCAGTTTGTGAGGGGGTCAGTCTAGTGGCCTGCTCCAGAGCGGCACTGTTTGGGGAATCAGTATCTCGGGGTGTCAGAATGGGGGGTCACTCACATCGATGAAGGAGGCATTAACGTAGTCCGTGTTCTCCTCGCCCCTCTTCACTGGGATGATGACTCTGTTAAACTCGTCTGCGGAGACAGAGAGGCCTGTGAATTTGGTTTCTTCAGACACAGCGAAACAGCGTCCGGAGGTCACGAGGAACAACGTGGAAATTCCTGGAACACTGCTGTAGCTGCCTGTGTTGCAGAAACTGATACTCTGGTTAATCCTTGGACTGATCAGCTAGTAAAAACTACATGAGCTCAATGGGCGTTCTGATGTTAGGCACTGCCACACCTCCCTTCCCGTCATCACAACGGCACGTTTCAATCAGCACATTTCATTCTGCAAAACTGTACTTATGGAGGTTGTCTCATCCGCGCCACCAACACAACTGTCCCAAGTCTCTCCCACTGCCCCACGTTCCTCTAACTGTCCCAAGTCCCTCCCTGCTGCTACTCCACCAATAGAACTGCCCCCACCCCCTCCCTTCTGCTAATCCACCAATAAAACTGCCCCCAGCCCCTCCCTTCTGCTACTCCACCAATATAACTGCCCCCAGCCCCTCCCTTCTGCTACTCCACCAATAGAACTGCCCCCACCCCCTCTAGCTGCCCCCAGCCCCTCCCTTCTGCTACTCCACCAATAGAGCTGCCCCCAGCCCCTTCAGCTGCCCCCGGTCCCCCCCTGCTGCCCCCGGCCCCTCCTGCTCACAGGGAATGATCTGCAGGACCCGGTTCTTCTTCATGTTGGCTGGCAGGTTCCCGGTTCTCATCTTGTCGTTCTGGATCTTGATGGAGGTCAGTTTCTGCAGGAAGAGGGGAGAGAGCTCACAGCTGACTCTTGCACAGGAGCTCTGAGGGGGCCGGAGACAGACACGCAGGGCTGAGTGTCTGATGCACTTTCCCCAGGAGAGCCAGGATTTAAACCCACAACCTCTGAGCTCCGACTGCTCCTCCACACTCCCACCAGGTAAGAAACTCCCTCTTTAGGGCTCTGGTTTAAAGGCGCACATTTCCAGAGCAGTCTGACGGCATGCACAGATGGCTGGGAAAACAAATCAGCAGGACAACAGCCAGACTCCTTTGAGGCTGCTCCAGGTTCCTGACCACATGAAGAAAAGTCTGATGTGCTTCATCGTTATAGCCTGTGAGCTGGCAGCTGCCAACACCTGGATCACCCTAACCCTAACCCTGACCCCTGACCTTGAACTCCGCCTCCAGCCCGTTGCAGCTGACCCCAGGTGTGTGGGAGTAGAGTTTGGCCAGGTGCGTCTCCAGGGAGGTGACCTCCAGCTCCGTGTCGCCGTACAGGTAGTGCTCCAGGAGGGCTTGGTAGATGAAGACGTACTGCATCTGTGTGAGAGCAGGAGAGAGCGCCCTTGTGAGACCGAGCCTCGCGCCCGCGGGAGGACGGGCCCAGGCCACAGTGGACTCACGTCTGTCTGCACCATCTGGCAGCGCTGCGCCCGGATCCGCGTCACGAAGCCGAACACGTCCACCTTGCGCTCCGCCCCCATCATGTCCAGCATGGCGTCGATCACGATGAACGTCCCGGTGCGGCCAACGCCCGCGCTGAGGACACAGGCAGAGGGCACAGCATCACGGCACGGCTCTGCAGGGCCTGACACAGACTGACCACGCCAGCAAGAGCAAAGCCAGCAGGGACACAGACAGAGACCTGCCTGTATCCACACACACAGCCCTGCAGTCAGGAGAGTGTGACACACACACACAGCCCTGCAGTGACACACACACACACAAACACCCACACAGCCCCGCAGAAAAGAGAGTGTGATACACACACACAGCCCTGCAGTGACACACACAAACACACACACAGCCCCGCAGAAAAGAGAGTGTGA